TTTCTCCTTCCGGTAACTCACTCTCGCCCGTCATGATTCCTCCGCCTCGTCACACCTCCTCCGATACCTTCCCTCTACGCGCCGCCGCTGCTTCAGCCGTATCTCCTTCCTCGTTTTCTTACTCCAGTCGCCGTGATTTCCCAGACGGCTCAACGACGGCGTCTCCGGGACGTGTTTCCAGGGGAAGTTTCTCTAAATCTTCTGTTCCGGTTGCTTCTTCACTTCCCGGTGTAGGGATGGATTCTATGGCGGCTGCTAAATCTAGTAGTGTTCCAGCTAGTGGATTAACCACTGTCTCCGTCGTCAATATGCCTCCTGGTCTCTCTGGTACTGTCACTTTGTTCATAAATCTTGATTGATTTGCCAATTTGTTCTTTAGGAATCAATCACAATGCTTTGTTTATTGACTGCAGAAAAGGCTAGTGACCAGAAGAAGGATCCTAAGCCCTTGAAAGAGAAAACCACAAAAGCTGAGAGACGAGCTCTTCAAGAAGCTCAAAGAGCTGCTAAAGCAGCTGCAAAAGGTCCATTTTTTGTACTATACCAATGTGTAGAGCTGTTGTCTATTGTGTTGTCTTCTCGCATTTTGGCCTCATTCTGTGTAATTTATCAGCTGAAGGTGGGAAGGTGCCACCAATGACCTCAGGTTCGGTGGCTTCAACGAATGTTAAAGCAGCTAAACCAGTAAAGCCCACTGCTCAGAAGAACGACGGTGTTATTGCTGCTGGACCATCTGAGAAGAAGGGAGGTCCATCTGAGAAAGATAGAAAGAAAGATGCTCCTCATCCTCGCATGCAATATGATGATGAGAGTAGAGTCGTGAAAGCGAAAAGACGTGCTGTTGTGAAACAGACTGAGGCTAAAAACAGGGTCGAGCTATTTAGGCATTTGCCTCAGTATGAGCATGGGACGCAGCTTCCTGATCTCGAGACAAAGTTCTTCCAACTTGACCCTATGCATCCTGCTGTATACAAGGTATTTGTTTTCTCTCGATTTAACAGTGATCCTATCGATAATCTCTTAGTTAGAACGGGGAACTGTTTGTTCTGATGAGTGGTTGCTAAATCTTCATTAAGACGAGTGCTACTTGTGTACTGAATGAGTATCAGTTGTTGTGGTTATCAGGTTGGTCTTCAATATCTTTCCGGGGATATATCTGGTGGCAATGCCCGGTGTATTGCAATGCTACAAGCATTCCAAGAGGTTGTCAAAGATTATACTACACCGCCTGAGAAGACTCTTAATAGGGACATGACTGCGAAAATAAGTAGCTACGTCTCTTTCCTCATAGAATGTCGCCCGCTTTCAATTAGCATGGGAAACGCAATCCGATTCCTGAAAAACAGGATTGCAAAGCTGCCTATAACACTTGCTGAATCTGAAGCAAAAGCTGTTCTTCAATCAGATATTGAACAGTTCATTAACGAGAAAATCATAGGGGCAGATAAGGTGATAGTCAAACATGCTGTTAGTAAAATAAGAGACGGCGATGTCCTTCTGACCTATGGATCTCCAACTGCTGTTGAGATGGTATTATTACATGCACATGAACTCAGGAAAAAGTTCCGTGTCTTGGTGGTGGATTCTCGTCCAAAGCTTGAAGGGCAGCTACTGCTTCGTAGATTGATCAAACGAGGCATTAACTGTACATACACTCATATAAATGCCATTTCATATATCATGCACGAAGTCACCAAAGTGTTTTTGGGCGCCTCATCAGTTTTGTCTAACGGAACAGTTTACTCAAGGGTCGGCACTGCTTGTGTTGCAATGGTTGCAAGCGCATTCCGTGTTCCTGTGCTTGTATGTTGCGAAGCTTACAAGTTCCATGAGAGGGTGCAATTGGATTCTATATGCTCCAATGAGCTCGGTAAGCATGATCTTTTTCAGTATCAAAGCTTAGGCCGCCTCTCATTTTGTTTTACCTTAACTTGGAATTGGATTCTCGTTTGTTCCTTTAGGTGATCCAAATGCTATTTCAAAAGTTCATGGAAGAGAAGACATAAACTACTTAGATGGTTTGACCAACAACGCAAACCTGCAGTTTCTAAACTTAATGTAAGCTTGTTTAACCAGAGAAGTGAAACTGCGTTCTTTCAATAATTTATTCTCTGCTGCTAATACCCGTCTGTGAGGTTTTTTAATGACAGGTATGATGCTACTCCATCTGATTACATTTCCATGATAATCACAGACTATGGCATGGTAAGAAGATTCATTATCTCTAAAAAACATAAGAGATTCTTATCTTAATTATTTGCATGTTTCTCCATTCATTCAGAATCTCAAACATCGAACATTGTCTTCTTTCAGGTACCTCCCACAAGTGTGCCTGTCATCGTGAGAGAATATCAGAAAGAACACTTGCTTGTCTAAGCAAAGCTCTGCTTTATCAATTTTTGCCCTCATCATAAATGGAATCTCTTCTTCTCCATTTCCTTCCTCTCTAGCTCAGGCTCTTCTTGTCACAACCCGCATAGAATAACTACCGGCACTGCCTCCCGCTTCTTTTCCTGAGTATCGGATTCATTTCTTTTTGGCCTTGACATGTCTTTTAGAAACTTGACTCTGTGAAGAGTGCGATTCATCAACCGCCTCTCCGGGAAGATTTATGATGTTTTTCTTTGTCTGTGATGTATGAGTGAAGGCTTCTCTTGTTCTCCTTCTTATGGAGGTTGATACATCTTTACTCAAAATCTATGCCGAATTTATTTTTTGGTTCAATCTTCTCCATATGTTTTCATAATTTTGTCGATTTGCATGCAATGTAGTAGGCTAGTAGCATAAGGCACCACTCTTAGAATCACTTCAAACAAACTCAAATTTAATCACAAATCGTCTTTAAATTGAACAATGTTTCGGTCGAAATGTTGAAAGAAATTATGAGTGTAAAAATACTATTTTTGAGGATCTCCCTATTGTTTAAGGACTTGATCTTTGCCGGTTACTGGCGTAACCACACCGAGTACCACAAAACCGCCAAGAACAAGAATCAGAATTCCCATCGAGTTAACTAACATTGCCTCTGTGGAATACCGAGTTATCACCTGATTCACTTGCAAGAACGTCACCTTCTCAAGTATCCCTGTGGTAGCAGTCATTATGGCCAATCCATAGATGTAAATCCCTAAGAACACATGCCATGGCATCAAGTTGGTTCGGCTGTTTCTCGAACCGCCTGGGTACCAATAAGTCACAAACCCTGCAGCCCACTGTTTGCAATGATAGCTTTTAGTTCTCGGTGTTAATTAGAATAATGGAGATTTTGTTTTACAAGAAAAGATTGTGTACCTGGAAAGCGAAGAGAAAGAGACAAGCTAAGCCGAGCCATGAATGGAGACTGTAGAAGTTCTCGATCCCTTTGTCGATATGGAACTTAAGAGCAAACCATACTCCGATTAAGCTTAGGATCAAAGCTGTGAATTGTAGCGTAAGATGAACCAATTTCTTCAAGTTCTTTGTACCTTGAACAGACTTATATGCCAACATTGCTGCAAATTTTCAATGCACCCAAATGTTAGTAAAGGGTCCACAGTCTCTTTGACGAATGACGAAAGCGGTAATTAAAAACGAAAACATATACCATGGATCCTAAACGTCTTGAGATTAGAATGGACGATGGGAGACACAATGAATGAAACATACAACATTGAACCTATGTAGCTAAGACACTAAACTTCTACAGACATTAACCAAACATCCTCATGAAAGAAACATGAATCAATAAAGTCAACGTGATTGTAAGTACATATCTAAAGGATACGGAAATATGTGAAGGAGATTTGTTTACCTTCTCCATTGAAGAGTATGAGTCCAATCACCATCAAAACTGGATGAACCTGCAAACAAGATATTTGACATCATCAGATATATCTTTGAATCAAAACATTTATACATCCCAAATTTAGATCACACAGAAAAGTAAAATTGAAATTTACGCAATCAAGAAATATGAATCTCATCAGATACAGCAACGAGAACAATTTCATCTTAATCAATTTCCCAATTTCTACAAAAAGATTTGAATCATTCACATGAAAATCAATCTCAATCCATCTTCTAGTTTTCAGAAACCAAAATCTTAAAAAAGGGTCAACTTCAATACCAATCATGTGAGATATAAGATAAGATCACATCAAAACAACAAAGAGATTACAAGTCTCAGATAACATTTTCTCCAATCCAATTCCAAGTTTCTACTAAACAATCTGAGTCATTCACTATGTAAATCAAATCTCATTCCAAGCTTCTTATATTCAGAAATCAAAATCTGAAAAAGGGTCAACTTGAAAACCAAGCAAAATGAAAAAGAGATTTTACATTAAAGATGAGATCTTTGTTATCGGAAGCAAGAGCTAATCCACCTCTGAAGTGAACAGTCCATGTCAAAACCAAACCCGCAATGATAAAACCCAGAATCCTCACTACCAAGAAGATCGGGAACCCACCAAGCACCGGAACCGCCATGTTCTACCCAGAAATGCGACTGAAGTTAGGATTCGTTTTACGTCGATCAAATCAGGGAAACTAGGGTTAGGGTTTATAGTTTCTACTACTTTGGTGGTAGAATTTGGGGATTTTCTGAATCGAAATTGCAAAACCACCGCCTGTGTTTTAGATCGGGGAATTACTGGGAGTTTTGAGGTCAAGCAGAGTGATTTTGTCCCAAAAAATGATAAATAAATA